TCCAGTCTGATAATGACTCCTTTACACATATTCTAATTTTAGAAAAGTCTGTTTTTCTAAAGCCTATTTATATTCTTGCTCCAGTGCTTAACTCTTAACCACAAATATAATACCCAAGAAAAGAGCAGAATTAGGTCCTTTTTTAAATCATTCTTCAATTGTTTATTTTCCATGCGTATTCACCAACAGTGTCAACTTTTCAGTTCCACTCTGGACTTTTTTTCAGAATGGTATATATATATATATATATATACTTCCTACTTACCCATTGAGATATTTGTCAATCATGCAGGCCTATCTCATGCGTTATGAACATTATCATTTACTCACTTCAGCGATTCATTAGATAATATAATATGATTTAAAATATGGTCACTTTATAGAAATCTAGCTTTATAGCATCTCTGTGGATCTGTCTCTTACTTTTTATTATGCCTCTTGTTTTTCCTAATGTAGGCATTAAAGTTTTGGGTTTTTCTTCACAAATATTGTGAATTGTTTAGATGTATATAAATATATTGCATATGTGCAAAATGGGGAATGAGAATGTAGTATACAATTTGAATTATTTTAATGATACCTAATATAGATCTATACAATCTATAGATCTAAATTGTTTAGATCTATATTAGGTTTGTTTAGATCTATATTAGGTATCATTAAAATAATTCAAATTTTACACTACATTGTCATTCCCCATTTTTCACATATGCAATATATTTATCAATATAGGGCTTCCATTTTAATATATAATTATTCAAATGTTGTTTACACTGTTGACATATATACTTGGAATGTAACTTAATAGAACCTTTTGTATATGACACTCTGCATACCTATATGTACAGTCTTAACTTTTATCCTGGAATAAAATCCTTGTTCGTGCCTTGATCCACCTGCTCCTTTTTCACTAACTGTGTGGAGGTAGGGAATTGTGGCTATAATGGAACCCATACAACAGTGAATGGCCAGGTAAGCTAGTCTAGAAATGAGAAATATAGCTAAAGATAATGCTGAGTGAGCATTAGGCTCTATTAATAACCTAATTGTAAGCTCTGGGGACCTAATACTGAAAAAAGACAAAAGCGTTTTTCAATTAATAATCATATAAGGCAATAAAAGGACCCCCAGCTCCCCTTTCTATACACTGCTTTATTTCCATAAATAGATTTAATTTGTGAGAATTAAACTTGTTAAGTTTAATAACCTAGCAATATTCAGCAGCTGACTATGGTACTATTTCTGTGTCCATATTCTTTAGGATATGTTTCAAATGAGGGGTTTTATTTACTCATCATAAAACACTGGAGATTATTTCTCTCTTCTTACAATAGTTTTAAAGGGAGCATAGCTATGAGTAAGTAGGCATATGCATACAAATTCATTATGAATAGTCAGGTAATGTCTTGATGTAGTTCAAAACACATATTCCAAAATGATTGTTCGATATACCAGTTAAAGTTGAAAATCAATAAGGCCCTAGATAATTCTCAGCTGAAGATTCAATGTAATGGTTCCTTCAGCCTTAATATTAGTTTTAATTTAGTTAATAATATTGTAGATAGACAAATGGTTCTCCTTCTCCATGGGGCAATTGCTGATATGTTAGTATTGGATCTGATACTGAAATTGAAATTGGAGTAATAATAATACCATATTTATGTTATATTGATTGTTCACTTACATACTGTTTATTAACATAATAATTAATAAACCAAAGGTAAATACTTATTAATTCTAAAAGACAGTGGAGATTTGGCAAGCTGTACAAAGTAAAAGCTATTTTTATCTAAAGTGAGAATTCAAAGAGAATTTCAAATTCAGCTGAACTGAAAGCATAACTAACTAACTAATATTTCCAATTTGGCTATTTTGACTTTAAATTTTAAATCAACTTTGAAATCATTTCAAATTTTCACTTTAGAATGTTATGTATTTGACAAATTTGTGTATATGATTAAAATTTTACAGCATGAAAAGAAGACTATAAACCATAATAAAATAAAATACTATATGCAGATTAACAAGGAAGCAAGTATGTAAATTTTGTAAAATCAATCTTATTATTATTATTATTATTATTGCCATTTATACAGCGCCAACAGACTCCGTAGCGCTTTACAATATTATAAGATGGGGGATTTAATTATAACTAGAACAATTACAAGAAAACATACAGGAACGATAGGTTGAAGAGGACCCTGCTCAAACGAGATTACAGTCTATAGGAGGTGGGGTGTAAAACACAATAGGATATGCAGTAAAGAAGAATAAAGAAAGAACAGACTTGTTTGTAAGATAGAAAAAAATCAAAACATATGTTGAGTCTCCGTGGGCCACTACCTTGTTCTCATTTGTTTAAGAATTTATGTTTTCTATAAATTAATGTCATAGTTATTCAATATCATAGTTATTCACCAAACACCAAATTTCAGCAAATTAAAACTGAGTGCTAACATTTTGGCTAAAATAGCAGATATGGAATAAAAATCTACAACTCATCTCTAGCCACATTTGAGCTATTTCAGCCTCAGTTAAATAATTCATATTTAATTTACCAAAACTTGATGTTTAGAGAATAACTCTGTGTCTACAACAAGCAATTATCGTGGAGTAATTTAATATACCCTGTAAAGTGTTGAACAGACATACTGTAAAATATCCTAGCTTAAATGAAAGCCTTCTGAAAGGGTCTAAAAATCAATGAGAACTTAATTGTTCTTTGTAAACAGTATTAATAATTTATTTTAAAAAATATGGGAATATTATTTTGGTAGGCCCTAAATCTCTTTGACAACTTAATAAATAGCTATTAAATTAACAATAAACTGGGGAGTTGATTGGTAATTCAATTTGACAATATTTTGCTAGTAATGAAATTTGTTAGATAACAAATGGGATGTTCTGCTATGCTTTCGAATGCGCCATTAGGGGACACTTTAAAAAAGGTTCAAGAGAGGAAAGGCTAAGGGAGAAAGATTAAAACACTACTGAAAAGGAAAATGAATAACAAGTGCATAATGTTAAAACAAATAGAATACGATAAAACAACTACTCAAAGACAAGCATAGCTGGCAATAAAAACACACACACATAAAGATAAATAGATAGATAGATAGATAGAAAGATTACTGTTAGGCATTACCCACATATCTCAAGTTGGACTTTGAAAAGTCTTCCTTAGGGACAGAAACTCGAGAAATTGTGTTTCCACAATTATTCCAGAGTTCCCAGCTTGACATGCATATGTGCACAGACAGGCATTGTGTGTCAGACTTCATTCAGCATTTTTGCAGTAACCCTTAGAAATTTATGCTTTTTTGTTGTTGCTTTTGTTTGTTTTTTTTTAACCATAGAATGGGTCATAATCCAGAAGGGCTAATCACCAGAAACCAGCCTTAGTCTTTAATTTTGATCTTGTAGGTCTCATCAGTATGGCATAGGTTCTGGTCTAGAAGTTGAAGTGTCTCTATAGTAATTCTTCATCTCCAGATACAGGTCTAGATTAACTTTCTAGTGGTTTATGTATGCATTCTAAAAAGGAACTGGCATAATTTCACTTAATTCTTTAACCTGGCAGAGTGTGACTTCTGCAGACAGATATTTTCTAACCATACCTTTACATGCATATCAAAAGATAAATTATCTTTTATGGGGTAAATTTCCTTGGTGAACAATATATATATTTTATCCATGGACTCCATGTTAAACAGGACAAATAGAAACTACAAAAAAGTTAACATGTAAAGGGTTTGGCTAGTTGGACACTAAAAAACACTGATAGAACTATGCCCCAGACTTTCCTTCTATCACAGTTCAGCTGATACACTCACTAGAGACTAAAATAAGCTGTTGCATAATATTTATCTTACAGCAAACTGGGCATTAGCATTTTTCTGGTGGCATGAATAATTTCTTCCATCCTCAATAATTTTGAAACCCCTTAAAATGCTAATGAGCAAACTGGTCCTTCACAATATATTCTAGTTTCACAAAACCTAAAACACCTGGAAAAAATACTATCAGTATCACCATCTAAAAAGCTGGCAAGCATGATAATTAACACCTCATCATTCCTACCACTTTCTCTACCATTTCCAAGCCACCTTGTCGTCTTTTCTTTTTCTTTTATGATAATTTCATACAAACATTAGTTTTCAGTAAAATTGTTGATGACTGCTGAACCTATCAGATGCTGTGAAATAGTCAAAGGAACCAATTGAAATACTTTAAAGTATTCTGAAATACTTTAAAGTATTCTGAAATACTTAATCATCTATGACCATTAAGGAACTGCCATCATAGATATGCCATCTTAATATAGATTGATAATATCATCAGGAGCCTAGTTCTTCTTCTCTACAACTCACCATTTCTTTAAAACTGTAAAAACATTGCTAAGACATCTGTTGATTGCAGCAAACAATTTGATCCCCCTGCATTGGAAAGATACCACTCTAAATTCTTTTCAAAAGTGGGTTATCCAAGTGGAGGAGATCTAGACCATAGAGCTCATGGTTGCTTCATTGAGGGGCACTCATGAGAAAATGGCATGTCTATGGTTCCACTGGGGCCAGTTCCTGTTCTGTGAATAGGATGGGTTTATGTCCATGACCTTTCTAGACTATGGAGCTCATGGTTGCTTCCTTGAGGTGCACTAATGAGAATATGACATGTCTATGGTTCCACTTGGACCAGTTACTGTTCCTAGAATATGGTTTCTTTCCATGAACTATATTATGTCTGAACATCTTGTCAAATCTCATGCCATTATATATAGGATTTATTTATTCTGTTCTCCTTTTTTCTATTTGACTTATATTCTACAATTGCTGAGTTGCATGACTATTTCTACAATTTGTAATAATAATAATACTAATAATTAGTGATGTCCCGAACGGTTCGCCGAACATTTCGCCATGGATGGTGAACATATGTGCTGTTCGGTCCGCCCCCTATGTCATTATTGAGTAAACTTTGACCCTGTACCTCACAGTCAGCAGACACATTCCAGCCAATCAGCAGCAGACCCTCCCTCCCAGACCCTCCCACCTCCTGGACAGCATCCATTTTACAGAATGCAAGCTTCATTCTGTGAGCTGTCCAGGAGGTGGGAGGGTCTGGGAGGGAGGGTCTGCTGCTGATTGGCTGGAATGTGTCTGCTGACTGTGAGGTACAGGGTCAAAGTTTACTCAATGATGACATAGGGGGCAGACCGAACAGGGCAATGTTCGCCATCCGTGGTGAACCGTTTGGCGAACCGTTCGGCGAACCGTTCGGGACATCACTACTAATAATAATAATAGTAATAATAATAATAATAACCCTCTTTATTCCTTTCCATATCCCTTTGCACTTCTTTACCCTCTCCCTTTTTCCTTCTTACCCTTAGTATTTAGGGATGCTGATATTTACAAACTCAATTAGTTATTGTTGTACTCTTATCTATTTGCACTACAAAAATAGTATGCCTTTTACATATGCAACTGCCCTTTGGTGCCCTTATTAGGTGTCCTGTAATACCTTATAATGTTTTTGATTTACCCTTTGTCAAGTGCTGTACTTTTTGCATTGCTACTTATTCCTTAAAAACAACAATATAAATTGATTCATAATAAATTGTTACAGATTTTTCATGAATAAAATCCCTGAACAAGCACAACATAGGGCGAATAACTTAAGTGTAGAAAAAACATCAATGTGAAATATAAACCTATGAATATATATGTACCTAATTCTCAAAAATAAAATATGTTGACAAATGGTAAAGATTAAAAAAATATATGTTCGTGTTTGTTAATGTTTATCCAACACATTAATCTTACTGTTATTAAGAACACTTAAGGTCTCTTGCTTTAGTAAGTCATGATTAGACTTGGAGATTTATTTTGTGATGAACTGCAATTTGCCTGAATTTGTTTCGTTCGGGTGTTCTTCCAAATTCCTGATATCTGAAACTCCATATGGACTAATCACGAAACAAATGACTCGCACAAAGGATTGGTATATTTGTCTGTTTCGTGATTTGGAGTTCTACCAGTTGTGCCAAAAAAAAGAGATGATTGATGTAAAAGAAGATGGTTAATGGCTCAGGGAAAGCCATTAAATATTGATTTTATTCACTGATCAAGTGAATGGCGAGTAGAGGGGAAACAAAGGAGGAGCACAAAAACAATCTGAATTCATATATTTATATAGTATATATTTTATATTTACAAAATGAAAACAAAATTAAAGTGCGCTCACTCGACTTTTATTTTTGATTGCTAGAAGTGCTGACCTTATTTATCAATGGCAGAAATAAACACAGTAGTCAATGTTATTTCTTGAATAAGCTTTTGCTTAGATGATTGGTGATGAAGTGTATGTGTGGGACAAACCTTTTATTGTGTCTTTGTGGAGTTGGTGAAAATGCACCTTTTGTCAGTTTACAAAATGGTAAATGCTTTCTAGTGGATCATGGAAATCTTTTGTTATTTTGTAGCTGCAATCATCTACTGTCTGTTGGTATTAATGATACTTTAACATTGTTGTTTTTTTTAGTGATAATAGAAATAAACATGTTTAGAAAATATATTTTGAATGTTTCATTTAAGCATTTTGTGTAGTACAAAGAATGTTAAAACATAGCATTCAAGAAAAATGTTATGAGGTACTGTACTAAAATTATCTTATTTTCTGTTATATATACAGACTTTTTTATATTTTCAGATTTGGTTTTCCTATATGTTGTATACTGAACACATCTTTAGAAATCTTCCTATTATCAGTAAAAATAAGGAGAGTTATGTAACTTCTAATATCTATATATTTATATTTTCTACATAAATAGCCCATAAAAGTACTAATTATACTTAACTTGTGTGAAAATTATATCCATCATGACTGGAGTTTAGAAGATTGATAAAACAAGCCTATTATTTTGAAAGATACAGATACTAAACAACAAACAACAATTACTTTTGCTATGGCAATGACATTTACCTTATATTATCTAAAACATTAATGGGCACAAGGTTAAAAAAACCTTTTTATTTTATATTATGTAATTTCAGTTATTGTTGTCGTATAGTCAGCTAAACATTTTTTATCATTCTCCTCTGACCTCTCTCATTAACAAAGTGTGTTTGCCCACAGAACTACTGTTCACTAGATATTATTTTTATACCATTCTCTGTAAATTCAAGAAATTGATGTTTGTGAAAATTCAAAAAATTGATCAGTTTCTGACACACTCAAGCCACCATTTGTGGCCTCAAAATTTGTTTTATTTAGTTTTAACAACAACTAAACAATTTGACATTGAATTGCTTGCTTGTGATTGGCTAATACGATATTTGCTTTAACAAGCAAGTGTACAGGTTTATTTAATAAAAGTCACTTAGTACATCACATGCATATTAAAACTGTATATGTAATAACCGTAAAGAATTGAAAAGCTTAATCTTTAATTTAAGCTACACCTCTTACATCTGAGTATATATATCTTGGAAATACACAATATCAAAAAGTTGAGATATATGTTACGTGCTTGCTGCTATAAGTGTGCATTTTATTTCTGTACAACACTCTTATTTGGTTATAGTGTGTGAAATTAATAAACATGTATTGCTGTACAGGTCTATCATACTGTCATAGTTTCCTCACTTATCGTTTAGTTATTAACAAACACTTCTGCCATAGGTGTTTTTGGTTGGGCTTTGTGGTCTAAAGACCTGGGTGCAGGACTCTTTAGCTCTTGATCTCTACAGTTGATGTATGATGTAGAAGAATATTAGTGTTTTTTATTCTGCTTTTTATATCTGGCAGCTGGCTTTCAAAGCAGTCTCCTATTACAAAAATAAATATCACTGGTATAATGCTCCATCAGGGATGATGGTTGTGGCCCCAGGTGATAGTCGGGAGGGGATGCTAGAGAAAAGAACATTGCTGCACACTCCTCTACTAGTTAGGTAGTCTGGTGAGGTTACATTGAATAGCTGGCTAGGCTGAATGTTCTTGTTTCCAGCGATGCTTTCCTTGAGATACCAGAGAGCATCAACAGTATGCTATTCATGCTTAGACACGATGTGACATAACATAGAAAGGTAGGGATATGCCATGACCAATCTCCAATTCTCTGTTAGAGTAGGGGTCATCAACTTTTCTGTTTAGCTCACCCCTAGGTGTTTCTGGAACCTAAAACACCCCTGACTTCTATAAAAGTCACATGACTGTCTTTACTATGAATTATATTACTGAGCAAATCTCCCAGGCATACTATTTCCTAATGCAGCAAATTCTGTTCTTGCATAGCTGTATCACACAGTCCGACATCCATGCTGGTAGTCCTGTAAGTTATTATTGAACAAAACTGTCAGAGAGTCCTACTTACCCCCACTGCAAACTATTAAATGCAATGCAGTTTTGCTCACTGGCATTCTTTACATTTTATTATTAAGTAGCTGATTCTTGTTCAAATGGAGCCATATTGCTTATTCACTATTGTTACCATGAACAATAGTTAAATTCCCCCTTTCATAATATCGTAAAGCGCTACGGAATCTGTCGGCGCTATATAAATGGCAATAATAATAATAATGAACATTAGTAAAAAAGATTCAGAAGCCTGAATTTATATGAGTATATCATTTTCCACGCCACACAGCACTGTCCGATCCTACATACCTGTCATTTATTTATAATCAATGTTCTGTTTTGATTATTATTTTTTTGTCAGCTTATTGGAGCAGAATCCTCATCAACCTATTGTTCCTGTCTAAATGTGTAATACTTTGCCTTTTTTGTTGTTAAAGTTACATTAATAAAATCGTAAAGTGCTGCAGAATCTAATGGTGCTAAATAAATACAAATAATAATAATAATTAGCCTGGAGATTTTGGAGAAATTTTTAAATGTTCATGCTAGGCCACTCATATTTTCATACATTCATCAAGATCATTATTTCTCCAAATGAAGATAGGAAATACTGGCTGCAGATATATTTCAATATATTGATGCTGGATCAATCAATTTACTTACACCAAACATTCATTTAATTAATTATTTCCTGGCAAAAAAATATCCACTGTTTCAATTTACTTTTTGTGTATGCTTTACTTTATGATCTTTTCTGCTCACAATTCAGTAAATATATACAACTGAATATTATTCCCTATTTGCACTACAAGAAAATCGAAGTTATATTTTTCTAGCCTAAATGTTCATTTGACGATGTTTTCATAGACTATATGTTACAGAAAAAAAATGAAAAAAGCTATGTTTGAGAATCTTAATGCCAGCAGTTTGAATGTCTATATTAACATCTTCTAGCAGGTGTTTGACTTATTGGTTGACAGTACAAAAGTCTCTTTAGAAGTTTGGCTCTGAGCCTCCTTTGTTTTAACCCAGATGCCAGACCCTACTTAACTATTCTCCTTTTAACTCTCAAACCATCTGGAGTGATATTGAATGAAGAGACATTGTTTTTGATTTGTCTTGAAATTAACGGAATTTGGCAAAAGGCATTAGTAAGCTATTTTGGCTAGATGGTCACAGACTGCATCTAGAAAAAAATAACCAAACAGTAAGGAATTAAAATAACACTAAAATGGCATCTAGAGATAGTACAGAATAAATGGAATGCTACAAAAATATTGAAATCCTGTCCAAGTATTATTGAAATTAACATGAAATAGAAATAGGGTTTTCATTTATGCATAATTAAGCTTCAGACAGCTGCAGGCATTTCCAGTGTAACAGGGCATAGAATGCCATAATAGGCTTTCAAGCCCATATCAATGAGACTATTTTAGTATGCACTTGAAAAATTGTATAATTAGCCATAATTGAAATGTAACCATTATTCAATAAATCATAGAGCAATAACATAGAATCTGGACATGCACTAATACAGTTATAAGACAATGTAGCTAAATATATTATATTTATTTTATGTTTACAAGCACATTTCAATAGGTGTTTAGACAACATTGAAGAATATCCTCAAAGAGTATGTAAAGTTCCCTGCTTCAATGCTAATGTAGTCCACATGTTATAAAACATGCTCTTCTGTTATTATTACAGAAATGATTATTTTCACTGTCAGTTAAAATGTTGATTTAAATATACAGATCTGGATATGTGCTAGTAA